AAACAGATGTTGTAATAACATAATTTATAGTAGGTTATGGTTCATTTTATATTATTTTTCTATTTGTTTCATTAAATTTCTTTCCGTTTCGTTATGCATTTAATTATATTCAATAACAAAAAGCTTTATTATACAAATCAGAAAATAAAAGTATACATATTTATTTACAACTAAACTGTGTTCGTAAGGATAATAATGGCAAACAGATGCTATTTTGGACTGAGTAGACATATGAGAAGTAGAAACTTAAGTAAAAAAACAAAAATAACCATATACAAAACCCTTATACAGCCAGTGTTGATATATGGATCGGAGACATGGACCATCTCCAAGGCAGACGAAGACCTTCTGCTTATATTTAAATGAAGGATCCTGAGAGGAATATTTGGTGGCATCTGTGAAAATGGTGTTTAAAGGAGGAGATACAACTACAAGGTATACCACAGACATAAATAAATATTTGGTGGTAAAGACGTAGTATCTCTTATAAGAATAGAAAGACTAAGATGGGAAGGACATCTAGCAAGATTACAGCAGAACAACCCCTTATAGAAGAATCCTTATGTCACAACCCGTGGGAAGTAGAAAAAGGGGTAGGCCAAAACTCAGATGAAAGGATGGTATAGATGAGGATGGTAGAAAGATAGGCGAAGCAAACTGGCAACGGTTGGCAATGGATAGGACTGCCTGGCGTAATAGACTTGGGAAGGTCGAGGCTCTTTTATAGGGCTGTAGCACCATTGATGATAATGACGAAACTGTGTTCGTTTATAACGACTATGCCAAGATGATGGGTTTAAAAACGAGGGTAACTAGCTATCAATATTTTAAAATAAAATTTACCATTTAAAAAATTGTAAATTACGCAAAAACTGTGGCACGAAGGTTTAGTACAACCATATACCATTCGAAAGAGAATAATTTGATTAATGTAATAATTCATTAATATGCAAAGTGTTCTATTTAAAATAAGCCTAATATCACACATTAAAGAATGCAATAATGAATCTGTAAATTTTGTACACCCTGTAAATTTTTTTAGATTTAATAAAGATGTTGCAAGGATCTTCATTGATGATAAGTCAATATATGTAAGAAGGGTAAAAAATATCTGCAATTTCTAAAGAAGATTTTAGGAACTTTAAACTTTTATGGTACTGGAAGCTACCAATTATCCTCTGGACAAGGATACAATTTTGCTTTAAGTCAACCAAGCATGAGTCTTTGCATTGATGAAATATCAGAAATTATTTATTTATTTAAAATTTTGTGGTTCGTGGAGCACGAAACATACTAAAATTTTATTAAAACGATAATACAAATATAACACAAACACAAATAAACTGAAATGAAAATGAAATATATTTTCAACAGTAATAAAATACTAAGTTAGGCAGACTGTCAATTTCTTCTTCTTTCTTAAGTTTTTGGCACCCGACACTTAGTTTTTGGTCAATTTCTACCTTACAAGTAGTTTAAACACGATCAAGTGCGACAATGTCGTATCTAATTGAAAACCTTTTAAAGAATTCCTCTAAAACAATATATTTTAGCGGTCCTCTATAATATTTATTTACAGAATGTCAATTTTACCTAAAACATTAAGAGGGCCGTTAAAAGTTAAATTTTAAAGGCCTCTTAAATTTAACGGAAATATTACAGATGCATTTATATTAAAAAAAAAACGAAAAATGTGGGCTTTTACCTTTTTGGGTTGGTCTAAATTCATCATCGTAGATATGCCACGCTTTAGCATGAGCCTTAACGAGATTGTGCACGCATTGGTATTCAAGCAAATCTTGAGATTGTATGTTCGGAGGAAAGTATCCGATTCCGTATCCCGCACCGCAGATCTGCTGAGGTTCGTTGAAAGTAATCCAGTGTTTGACGTCTTCCCCAAACAATCTGAAAGCTATTCTAGAGTAGCTAGAAAACCAATCGATAATGGAACTATTAAGAAAACCGCCATAATTTTGCAAGATTTGTGGCAAGTCCCAGTGGTAAATGGTTACCAAAGGTATAATGTTGTTTTGCTTTAAGTTCTTTGATAAGATTTTTTAGTATATTACTCCAGCTTCGTTGATATTATCATCAAAACCTAGAAAGAAACAAAACAAAGCTTATTGCTTATGTGTAAAATAACTAATTAGCTAATAAATTTATTTAATACTTTTTTAGTTTTTTTTTTGTATATTTGGTAAGATTTGAGGTATTTTTTTTGTGATCAACAATTATTATAACTTCTATTCCGAATCTATCATTATGATTTGATTATAAAAATTTATTCGACATAAGAGAATATAGAAATGACAGTTAATATACTGAAAGAATATTGGGATAGATTACCCAAGGATAAGAAGACAAATGGCATCTTTAAGGAAGTTACCGTGACGGCATTAATACAATAATATTTTTGAAGTTTTGCTTTTTTTCGTGACCTATTCTTAATATGTTTTCGTAAAAAAATACACGATTGAATCGTTGTTTAGTTAAATCGGAAGCTTAAAAATGAGATAAAAGAATGCACAATGCACTCTAATATAAATAAAGTTTATATTATTATAAATATAGTGATCTTCAGTAAAGCTACAGACAAAGGTTTCATGATATGATGCTTATTTTGACCGTAGAAAGTATTACCATACTAAAAATGGAGTCAAAATTTTTCGAAAATCAAAGATTGTCCCTGCTACTGGCACCAATATTTTTGTACGGCATTAGGTCCCAGATCATTATTTTTTTATTACCTACCTAAGTTATAAATGCCGTACAAAATTGTTTGACCAAAATACCACACTTTTGGGTACCTGTACAGATAAAAATTGACGGAATAGTTTCTAAAGTTGTTATTACTATTGTAGTATTGATTTATATGTAAATCTTGCAAGATCAAATGACCCTTTAAAAATGTATATCTTTTGGCCACTTTATAATATTATTTGCTATTACATAAACAAGCAGTACTGGCTACTTGTGTAAACTAGTATTATTATGAAGTTATACGGACAATGGTTTGTTTTTTTTTTATTTGTTTTTTTTTTTTTGTTTTGTGTCGTTTTAAATTGTTAGTGGCCCATGAAATATTTTACGCTTTATTGTTTAAAAATACATCATCATTATCATTGGTGCTGTTGCCAGTTTGCTGCGTCTATTTTTCTACCATACTCATCTACACCATCGCTCTATCTGAGTTTTGACCTATCCCTACTTCTACTTCCTCAGGTTATGACATTAGAATTCTTCTAGGAGGGTTGTTTTGCTGTAATCTTGCCAGATGTCCTGCCCATCTTAGTCTTCCTATTTTTATAAGAGATACTACGTCTTTTACCACCAAATATATATTAATACCTCCTTCTCCAAACACCATTTTCACAGATGCCACCGAATATTCTTCTTAGGATCCTTTGTTCAAATATAAGCAGGAGGTTTTCATCTGCCTTGGAAATAATTCATGTCTCCGATCCATATGTCAACACTGTTGTTATAAGGGTTTTTGTATATGGTTTTTTTTTTTTTTGGCTTAAGTTTCTGCTTCTTATATGTCTACTTAATTTAAAATAGCATTTTTTAGCTAGGATCATTCTTTGCTTGATTTCTTTCATCACGAAGTTCTTCTTGGTGATCAGGGTGCCTAAGTATATGAATTTGTCCACCACTTCAAAGGTAGAGTTATCAACAGTGAATTGGTGGCCGATGTTTCTGGCTCTATTGTTGGGTGTTGATGTCTTAGTTTTCTCCTCATTTACTTGCAGGCTCATATTTTTTGAGGCATTTGACAAGGTGGTATACATTTCTTCTAGTTTGCGTGTTATGCGGGCGGGCAACTAGGTCAACATCATCTGCATAAGCCACAATTTGGGATGATTTTTTCCATGCATCTTTTCCAGAGCTATGTTGAAAAGAGACACGCCGACGCATCTCCCTGTCGCAGCCCAACATGCGTTTCAAATGCCTGTGATTGTTCGCCCTGTATTTTGACTTTGCAAAGAGCTTTACGCGTTGTAGTCTTAACTAATCTTATCAGTTCATCGGGAATGTAAATTCATCCATGGCTTCATACAATTTATGTCTTAGGACACTATCACCCCTTTTGTGTAGCGGGCAAGCGATCCCAATACACCACTCTTCCAGGATTTGTTCCTCATTCCAGGCTCTCAGCATGATTTTATTATATATATATATATATAATATATATATATATATATATATAATATATATATATATATATATATATATATAAATATATATATATATATATGGTTAGTGAGAGTAGCAACTCCACATTTGATAAGTTCCGCGGGTAAACCATCACTTCCTGGAGATTTATTATTTTTTAGGTGTTTTATTGCATCCCGCACTTTTCAAATTAATGGAGGCTCCAATGGTGTGTGGCTCCAAAAAAACCTTTTTGATATTAAAACTAATTATCTTTTCTTAAGACATAATTATTTAATGAAAGATATCAATTGATATTTAGCTTTGAGATGCCCTGCTTTAATATTCAGGGCATAATACTTCCTCATGACACAAAATATCATCTGTTTGTTTTTCAATTCATTAGATAGAGTAGCATAGTTGTTGCAAAAGTAGAATTTACAAATCAGTCACCAAAACAACACGACCTGACATAAAAAGGAAAAAAGTATGTTAGAAACAGCAGAAATGAAAACACTTAGAAATACTGATAGTAAAACACTATGGAAGAGAGCTCGAAATATCGATATATAACAAAGATACAAAGTGGAGAACGTCAAGGACTGGGTAACACATAGAGTAGTGAAGGCGGCAAAAGACGGTTTCTCAATTTAAAGACAATCAGTAGGAAGACCAAGTAAACGATAGAACGAGAACTTACCGGAGGCACATTGAAAACAGACAGTAATGTCTACCTAAAAAGAAGTAAAAGAAGAAGATTATTTACATTTATTTGACCTTAAATAGATATACAATAAAATTTTCAGAACTAAATAAATATTGTTAATAATAATGTTTATGCTTACCTGTAGGTAAAATCCTAGTCCAAGACAGAGAAAATCTATAATGATTGACACCAAGTTCCTTTAAAATGGCTATGTCATCTTTCATTTTATGATAAGAGTCGCATGTAATATCTGCAGTTGAATTATCTGCTACGTAGGTTGGATCTGTGTGGACTTTATGATCCCAAATATTTTCTCCCTTGCCATCTTCATTCCAGGCTCCTAATAATAAAATAGAAGTTAGAGTCAAAAAATAGACAAAGAAGGAAAGGCCATAAAGGTAGGTCATGAACTACCTCCGTAGGTTAAGTAATAACGATTTCGTCGACTGCGCCGGATATTGCACTGCCTTTTATTCTGCCTACTATATCTCAATTGATGTGGCTCACTCGACACTTCTTGCATTTTCTCTCTGGTTGCCGTATATTTTTCGTTAATACAACCTCTTTCTCTCACACATGCACACAAGTTTATGCAATCGAACCCAGCCGATGACAGTTCACAAGACCGCTAAAGTTACAGTCCTATAGGCACTTGCTACCTTCAGCAGACTAATTTTGACCAAACGTACTAACAGTCTGTCTGCGATGGAGGACGACGATGTTAGGTATTATCCTCCTCCAATCAGCTGCTCTCTTAGTAGCCTTACGCTACCTTCCGCACATGTTCCCCCTGCTCCCATTTTTATGCAGAATCACCTCTAGCTACTTCCCGTATATCTTGGGATAACCTGCTCTGTACAGTCCAGACTTCAACACTCTCATTGTCGGACCTTTGAGAACCACCGCCTCGGTCTTTTACGCGGCGAGACTCACATCATTCTTAGTGATGGACTCCTGAATCAGTACCTAGCATCGCGAGGTCTTTCGCGAACGCGAAGAAGTAACACCCTCTATGAATTCGCAATTCATTACACCATTGTACGCTAGGTTCCACAGCACAAGGCCAAGGACGGAACACTGAAGTACTCGAGTCATGACATTCTTAAGCACACCTCATTCTATCTGGATTCTTCTTTCAGATAGATAGTCGTAAGAGTGCACAACAGTTATGGAAGGCCCATTTATTGTGGTCTTCCATTCCTTTTAACACTATAAATACCCCATCATCGCATGCAATGTACTTTTTTGAGACTTATACTGTTTGGGGAAAACCTCTAGACCTCTCAATCAGTTTCCCGATCCTTTTGCAAAGCTATCTTTTATATAGTTTACTCGCAAATGGACCTATGCTTTCCCACTCCTTTAGGAAAGAGCACGAGCCTCGAGACTTTTTAAGATCTTAAAATAACCTGTACCCTAAGCTGGGCATTCATGTATAATAGATAATTCTCTATTTAACAGTATCAATTCCATGTGACTCCTTCAATATAGTCCAATTATAGTAATATTTGTTTAAAAGGTTTGTGTTGCATGAAAAATACTTCTGGGCACATTCTTAAAAAGAACATTACATCAATCTTGAACATTTTAGTTCGCATGTCCTCTCGCAAATCTTAACGTAGCTACACGGTGATCCTTTGTTGCCACTTAGGGAGACGATTTAAAAAGTTCGCATGGTTTGTAAAGTTACTCCTAGATTTCAAGCTTGATTTTTTTTTCTTCTTCTTTCTTCTTGTATATAGCATTTAAAGCCTGTTTCTTCTTTAATATTAGCCACATTGTTTAAATTATCGCACCATCTTTGTCTTGGTCTGCCAATACTTCTTCGTCCATTTGGTGACTTATCTCGTGCTATTCCTACTATCTTATCCTCTGAGATTCTGCCATTCTACTAATGTATTCATTCTACTCCTGTTTCCGTTTTGTCACCCATCCATTTATGTCTTCTATATTGAATGCTCTTCTTATATTTTCGCTTGTCTGCCTATTGAACAACTTTTCCCTGATATGATCCCTGACAAGTCTTGTCTCCGCCTTGTATGTTAATATAGTTTTAATTGCTGTTTTATAGATTCTTGTTTTTGTGTCTTGTCTTAGGTGTTTGTTCTTCCAGATTGTATCATTAGGAGATATCGTCGCTTTCCTTGCTTTTAAGCCTGATAATGCTTAATATTCAAATCTAGGGATACAGTTAAGTGATTAACGTTCATTAAATTAACAATATACCTTTGACTTTGCACGTTTTCAATAAGAATAAATATTCTGATAATTTGCTTTGAGAAGAATACATGTAGGTATTAGCAAAGAATATAGAATTACTTAACATACGATGAATTTATAAATAAAAAATAATAAAAATTAAAGAATAATAATTCGTATCTTCCTTCTTCTTTTAATTTTTTTCTGTTGACTTCGTTGTTTTCACAGAATCAGTAAGGAAAAGCATAAAGGAAAACGTGTGGTAAAGATTTTTGAAATTTTGTTCCACAAATTGGACTTTTTTGCTATATATTTTCGAATAATACCACCTGCTAAAAGTTATAAGTCAAAATTTTCTTTTACCTTCGATCTGATAAGCTGCTGTCGCCACACCAAATAAGAAGTCACTGGGAAACTTTTTATTGTTGATTGTATCATCTGCTGAGCTAAAAATACGTTTTATTAATTTTTTACTTAAAAGTAGTTATAATGATAAGAGAAATGATATCTAATATTAAATACAACTAAAATTGAACAATTGCAATATCTGGTAAATTTCATGAGGAGTAAGCGTAATAATTTGGTGTAATTAATAATATAAGAAAGTTTACAGGGTAAAATATAGTGTAAAATATGTCGTGTAACTTTCACGACATATTTAGTTGTACATTTTGAGAGCGAATCACTTTATAACAACGAATCACTTTACAACAGCATACAAAAATGAATTCGACGTAAAATACGAGAAGCAAGGTGTCAACATCTAGCCAAACAGTGTCATGACATTGAAAATCTTGAAAACAGATACGACACGTTTAATATGTATAAAAAAGTGAAAGAAACGGCTGGTATCTTCAATAAGAAACAAACTGCATTGCTACAGGATAAACATGGTTAAGTTTTATTTGAAGAAGAGGACAAACATTAAGAATGGGAAAATTGCGTCTCAAACCTATTCGAAGACGATAGGAGTAGTTCACCTCTCGATGTTACTAACTGCGACGGACCCCTAATAACACGCTTTAAGGTAATAAAAGCCATACAATTATCAAATAATGGCAGGGTGACTGGTCCTGATGAAATTCTAACTGAAATATACAAGCTTATAATTGATAGCAATGTTTTAGAGGCTATAAGTTCGTTTTTCAATTCTATTTATACCAGCGGACAACTATCTAATGTTTCGTCTAATTCAAACCATGACATTGGTTTGGATGGCAGAGAGAGATGTTCGAATGATTGCAAATTTATATTGGAATCAAACAACATCAGTTTTAGTAGATGGTGTGGAATCACAGGCTCTCAATATTAAATGAGGAGTACGACAGGGATGCCTCTTGTCACCCCTGCTTTTCAACGTTTACTCCGAACAATTTTTCAGAAAAGCACTTTCTGAAAAACAAGAAGGAATACTTGGGAACGGCGAAGTCATCAATAATTTGCGATATGCGAAATATACATTACTCCTAAAGAAGATCTGCAAACACTACTTGATAGTGTCATTGAGAGTTGTATGGAGGCAGGTCTAGATCTGAACATACAGAAAATTAAAATACTCATAATAAATAAACAACAGCATATAATATCGTTTATATATGTAAATAATACCAAACTTGAGCAAGTTAATAAAATCGTTTACCTTGGACAGCAATTAAATTGTAACGCAGAAAGTCACGGAGAAATAAGATCTAGGATAGAGTAGGCTAGAGCTGCTTTTAGGAGGATGTCCAAGTTATTATGTAACAGACCTAAAGTTGGCACTGAGAATCCGCCTATTTTGCTGCTACGTGTTCTCGGTCTTACTTTATGGTGTCGAAAACTGGATTGTGAATAAAATCGATCTAAAACGCCTTGAGGCTTTCGAAATATGTTGCTATAGAACAATTTTAAAAGTTTTCTAGATTAAGAAGATTTGAAACTCCACAATACTAGAACGTCTCAGTAAGACTACTGAGTATTGTTCTGAAGCTATTTTCTTGTGGCATTGTAAATTTTCGAAGTGGAAATTGAAACGTCAATAAACGTATTTTTATCTTTAATTGTGGCTTATTCCCAGTTAAATAGTAATTAAGACTACTGAGATCATAAAAAGCATCAAGCAGAGAAAGCTGGAGTATTTCCGACATGTAATGAGAGGTCCCAAACATAGGTTGCTACAAAATATCATGTAAGGAAAAATAGCAGGCAAACGCAGTCTAGGACGAAGAAAAACTTATGGCTGAAGAACTTACGAGATTGGTATGGTGTTGATAAAAGCATGCTATTTAGGGTGGCAGTGAATAAAATTAAGATAGCTATGATGGTAACCAACTTTCTGAAGGACATGATACATGAAGAAGATTTTGAAAGCTTTACGGAAATTGCATAGCCACTAGATGTATTAAATTTCGTACTAGTTTGTATTTTTCACATCTTATTATATGCTCTAAGTATTTCAACTTTCTGATTTTTATAGAATTTAAAACTACACATTGTTTTCCTAGTCATTAGAGAACTTGGGCCTTCGTTTTGCGACCCATCCATGATATTTTCAGAAAATCTCGGTAACACCACATTTCGAATGCTTCCAGGTTTTTATTTAATGTGGGAATATTTCAGTGTCCAGGCCTTAACCCTATCCAAAAGGATGGAGAATTATAACTTCGAAACATTTTTATGCGGAGTGTTATATTGATATTCCGTTAATAGTTTATTGAGCAATTTTAATGCAGCTTTTTATTTAATTTATCTGATTAGTACTTTTTCTGATCCATTTCTAAGGTATTTTTACAGACATTTGTTCAATTTTTGTGTTGACTAACAAACTTCATGTTTTGCACTTGTTTAAATAAATATTAACTTGGTTTTATTTGAATTAATTTTTGGTCCGTAATCGTTGAACCGTATATGTGGCTTTTTAGTTTATAATATATACCAGTAAGCTGACATTTGTGTCCGAAATATTGACTATTTCTAAAAGATGCAAACTATGTGCTTATCTTCGAGAAAAAGGTCATAAGAAGAATATTTGGTGCCATTATCTGGCATGCTTAAGTGTAAAAACTACAGCTGAAGCAGACCAGATAACTTTTGAAATCTATAAGAAATGTAAAGAAATTGCAAATAGCAGAGATTTTATATCGTTCATAAGAATAAGTAGGCTAATAAGGACAGGTTACCTGTCAGCAGAGAATGCATACTACACTCTAAGATTAATGAAGGTACGCATAAAATTTGGAACGAGAGATAGACCTCGAGAAAAACTTA